CCAATCGTCGTTAGCCGGAAACTCTGTATCCCTAGCCAAAATCTGCCGTCGTCAGCCACCTTCCTCATCTGGTCTAGTTTACCACCTCCAACTCCTCATCTATTCAACGCTCATGAAAGAGGCGGCGGCGCCGGAAAGTTTTAATCGAACAATACAGGAGGGCGCCACCGAGTGGGCGCTGAGAAACTACACCCACTGCAGAAGATCCTGCCTCAAGAAAGAAATCGAGAGCAACGAGTTCAACGTCGGCCACCGCCGCTGGACAATCTGTCTGTACCTCGGCGGGAACTCGTTAGAAGCCCACTGGTCAGGGTACTCATCCCTGTTCCTGAGATGTAAGAACGGCGGTTCTGTTTGGTTTCTGTACGAGCTGTACCTCGTGGACCAGTCAGGTAAAGGCAATCACCTGGGTTTCTCTTTCATTGGAGACGATGACGCCACCTCCGGTGGAATTAACATTCCCGGACGAGGCTGTACGGTCGGGAAATATTTCTTCGTCAGGCGAACGGTTATGGAATCTCGAGATTATCTGAAAGACGACTGCGTGAGGTTTCGTTGCAGGATTGTGGTCTTGACTCGTCAGGCTCAAGCGCCTCTAATCGAGGATGGTATGGCCCAGCTGTCGAAAAGAAATCCAAGGGCAGATGTGTTGATTCAAATCGGGAATGAGAAGGTTTTTGCCCATAAGTGGTTATTAGCTGCCTCCTCACCCGTGCTCTGTTCGCGTCTATCTGATCCCCTCCATTTTTCCAAGGGGTTGTTTGTTATTCCTGATGTGGAGCCCAGATTATTCAAGGTTGCACCTTTTATCTTTTCAATGCTCGTGATAATTTACTAGTTTTGACTAATAGGACTTGCTACATTCCTGCACTAATATGAAGGATTGTTCTTATTATATTAATCATCAAGATCAAGGTCATAGTATGCACTTTATATGCAATCCTGTGGTGTTTCATTGATGTATTTGATTGTCAAATTGATAAAAGGCCTCCAACCTGTGCTTTCAATACCAAAGTTTGTGGCGAGGCTATAGCAGTTTGGTTGAACTATGAAATGCTCTCTTTTTAATATATTTCAATTGTCGTCTGGCTGCGCAAAAGATTCGTGGTTACTCGTTAGAACTAAGATATATGGCTTGCTGAAAACAACTTTGAAACCCATCATTTTTCCTTCAAAAGCTACGAAGCATGTATTATTCAATTTTCGTGGTCATTCATTTCTCATTGCATGTTTGTCTTGTAAATGGTCTTTGACTCTTCAGAAAGCTTTGCTAATACATTGAGCTCCCTACCCTCCGTAATTAGTTTTTATTTTTTTGTTTTGTAGACAATGCTCCAGTTTATGTATACCAGAAAACTCGTGGAAGATGATGAAGAATTTGTCAGTTATGCTGGTCCGTTTGTGCTGGATTTATTTATAGGGAAAGTACTTGCAGCCGCATATCAATTCAAAATGGAAAAACTTAAGAAGTTTTGCGAATCACGAATTTTGAGCAAACTTTCAGTGAAATCAGTTGCATACGTGTTGCACCTAGCAGACGTTTGCTGCGCTACAGAACTGAAAGCTGCTTGTCTTAGATTTGCAGCCGAAAATCTAGATGGTATCTTTCTTTGCAAAGTGTTCAAGCATCATTAACTATGATAGACTACGCAGCATATTTTATGCATTGAAACCTGATGTCCGTTTCTATTTGATAATTAAGAAATTTCTTCTGTGATGTGGAGTTTGATGACATTATAGAGAACACTGCGTATTTGTTTAGGATGTTCCTGTTGTTTGATTGCATTGGGAGTATCTGTTTATAAAATTGGAATCTGATTTTTGAACTAGGGTTGTACCTTGTGGTTAAGAAGTTTTACAATGCACCTAGAGTGTCATCCTTCATATCTTCCTTACCTTTTTTTCTACTAACAGAAATTTTTGGCTCTCAAATTTCAGCTGTATTGGAATCCGAAGGATGTAAATACCTTAGGCAATCTTGCCCATCATTGTATCAAGACTTGGCTCCCCGTGGCATATTAGGATGGGTATGCCTTAAAACCAAACCGTGTTTTTACAATCAAATTATTGTTTTTTTTATTCCCTTCATGTTCAAATTCAAACAGCTCTGAAAGTGCACCGTGCATGCATGAAGAGTTCCGTACCCCATAAAACTAATGATGCTCCTTTGCTGATATGATTAACTTGTTTGCAGGAATTTATAGTGACCAGCAAAATCTTGTCTGCTATAGAGCCTTTTGTTGGTCTGATGACATCGTTGCTGGAAGCTATTCCAGAAGAATAAAAGTGGCTTGCGAAATTCAACGTTTCTTCTGCCGATGTAGCTTCTTAGATAGCGTTTTTTGCTCAACTTATTGGGAAATTCAACTTTTGAAATTGTTATTTGTTTCTCAAATAAGGTATATATCAAATTAATCGTATATTAACGTTCGATTTTAATCCAACATTCATATTGCATATAAAAAATAAATGAATAATTTTATCTTTATTAATAGAACTAATTGAAAATTAACAAAATTATACCTCAATTAAATAAATTATCTATAAACTCATCAATCATCACAATGAAGTGTGTCGTTTTAAATATAAATAGTAATGCAATGTTAGTTAATTATTTGAAATTTAAATAAAAAAAATCTCCATTTTTTTTTTTAGAATTTTAGTATTAATAATAATAATAATAATTAGCATTCTTGATCTACGGATATTGTATTGGATTTAATATATAAATAACAATGCAATACCTGTTAGTATTTGAATTTTAGAAGAAGAAAAATCTCATTTTTTATTTTGTATTATTCAAATACACATTTTTAACTAGCACGCTCATAATCACCAGAAATTCTATGGCGCCCATATGGGCACCATATGGTACCATAATCTTCACGATCCAACGCCTAATATTCATTGTGGAATTGATATATATATATATATATATATAAAGTGCATTAAATTTATTGGTGATTGATTGACCAATAAATCTATATAACATAATTGTGGGCTATTATGAAATTATATCTAGTATAAATATTTTTATTTAATATTTTATTTTAAGTTTTGGTTGAAAGGCCAAATTTATATATATAAATATAGAAAAAATTATTTTTATATAGTTCGGTCGGTTCGATTTTTTTAAAAAACAAAGTCGACATCTAGCCGAAATAAACTGAAATTTTAAAATTAAAAATAGATAATAGAACCGACATATAAAAAATCGAATTGAATTTTTTTTTCACTCGGTTTCGGTCGCTATTTTTTAATTTGTCAGATGTTCATTTCATCTAATAATATTGTGCGCTCGCATCGCAACTATATATAATGTATATACCAATATATTGTGCAATTTATTTATCAATAATATGCATTTAGTAAAATTTCTATAAATTACAAATTTGGTCTATAAACTAAATTGAAATATAATCAACATTCATGAATTTGCAATCAAGTACATATAATTTATCAACTTTTCAAAAAAAATCTCAATTCAAAATTCTCAAATCCGTCTGGTCTGTGCATGGAATTGATGGCGGTGTGTCTGTTTTTTCAGGCCTCGGAGGACGTTGACGGCGAGACAGGCGGTGATGGCCGATTTGCGGTTGATATTTGCAAAAGATATTTGCAGTTTATGTATTAAGTTATTTTTCCTTTTTTCCGCTTTAGTAATTATAAAGTAAATGAGTGGAAGTAACTCATCAACCTATGCAACATAGGCAATAGACTAAATTGTTGATCATCTTATCAATTACTAGAAGTTAATCTAACAAATCAAGTTTGTTAACAAAATGTTGTAATGTAAGCATTTATGTTATACATGCCTAAGAGTTGCTTGGAACTTTATTCACATTCTGAATCCATTATAAGTGTAGGTTAGCAAATTCATTCATTCAAACTGAAATTTCATGCTAAAAAAACAACGTAAACAAAAGATGATATTTCTTAATATAAGTATGCATTATTTTGCTAAAAAAATATGACGAGTTCACCCGACTAACACACAAACCATTTTTGTTGTTAAAATCACAACAAAACACAAGTAACAATCATTTTTGTTGTTAAAATCACAACAAAACACCAGTAACAATCATACAACTAACTTTTTTTTTTTTTTCTCTTTCTCAACTCAACCAAAAATATTCATAGTATAAAAAATATTAATGTCCCTAGTAAATTGTAATATGCATAACACACAGTGTTCTAGCTCAACTCTCAAGGAGCATAAAGAGGGTGGTAAAATGGGGCAATTCGTCTATTTTTAATCCCTCATGGAAATATGGATTTCACGCTCAAGGCCAACTGAGCACAAACGGACTCAAGTTATCTATAATGGCAAATTGGCAACAACGAGAGGAAAAACACGATTATCTCTTTCGTGTTCAGCTGAATGAAAAACTTAGAAAAGATTATACCAAAAGGAGCAACGGCAAATTATGTCGAAGAATGAATATTTCACCAATTGTATAAGCTAATGAGAAATGAAGTTATCTCAAAAGAGATCTCGTCAGATGCTCCCGTGCAGTTGCTGGAGCTTTGGTTATAGTCTGCTCATCATCCATGGTATGGGAAGCCACTTTTCCAGCAATAATGCTACAATCAGTTTCAAGAACAATCCCTCCATCAAAAATTTCATCAAGGCACAAAAGAATAAGATCCAAGTTTTCCAGGTTTAAACCAGCAAGATAGAGATAGCTTTATATTTCAAACACTCCTACTTGAAGCCTAGGTACACTTTCTTTTGGTAGAGAAAAAAAATGAAAAACAAATCAAGATAGAGATATTGTTACCGCAATTGGAAATAGTTGAACATTGAAATTCGGCATAGTCCAACTTGGCCGACACGCGGCTAAAACGGAATCATTTTAAGAAAATGGTTCCGAATACAACAAAGAAAAAAAGATGAATTGTGTGTACAAACACTTGTTCCTCTCATTTTAACAAACAAAATCTATGTCTTCAAGTACTTGCTTCCTTTTATTAGTGAAAATCAGTTTCTGTGGTATGGCCGATGACAATAATGAGAGAGCCACAGGTAACTTGTTGGCAAATTTCAGAGGGAGAATGAATAGTATGCTAAAAAGATTACAAGAATCTTCAGCATGGAAATGGCAGACACTGGGAAAGGAAAACCTATCAAACATACTATCAGCTGCAGAGTTGAGTTGAATGTTGCTGTACAATCTGTATCCTCAATGAGAATACTGATGTAAAATATGGCCCAAAACAAGATAATACATTCTAGCTGGCGGCTTGTGAGAGAGGGAGATATTTCTAGGATCTCAACACACAACCGAAAGATGGAGTTTATACCAATACAGCAGCAAGGGAAACACAGAGTTGAAACTTACAATATCTTACTATATGCCAAAATTTCGACCAATGGTCTTGTAACCACAATGCAATGGTAAACAAGGGTCCATAGCCAAAATTAGGGAAGAGATGCCATTTCTCTCTCACCCCCTCTTTATTTTTAACAGAAAGGGAATTTTTCGAGCGAGGGACTGAGAGGACCAACAGAAACCTGGAAAAAACTAATCACATCTTGTATATTTGCATAACAAAACAGCAAGACCACTAGAACTTGCCTATATCAATCCCCTCAAGCCAGAATCGTTCATACTGATTGATTGCATTATCTTTCTTTACCTTAAAGAACTTCAACTTGAGTGGAATCTCGATAGATAACACTTCTCTTTGCTATTCAAGGGACATAACATACTGCTATCAAACCATTATCATTTTTGCATTTTTTCCTTTTTATCAAATTCTCTTCAAACATACATCCGCATATACGTTGCACTCTAAACTAGCATGAAGCACGTACCTGTAGAGCCTGTAACCTCCTTTTCTCAGTTTATAAATGAGCAGAGAGCCACATAATTTGCACAAAGAAGAACGCAATTCAATTAAAATTCAGAACAAATCCTTTATTGACTAACACCATGAATTGAAGTAATTCATTCAACCAACCACAACTACAAATAACACTCCAAAAGGTAAATGCCACAGCATGAGAAGGCCACAATGCAATCCACAAGAGCAAACACCTTATTTCTACATAGACTAACACACCAGGCAAGGGCAGGCAATACTTTTCTCTCCCTATCAAAACACAACAAGCAACCGACCAACACTGAAGCAGCACAACAAACTGAGAGGAGACTTAAAAGTTCAAATTAACAGAACATGGGGTTATCTACTCAGAATCAAGATTTTTACAGTAAAGACAAGAAGATCTCGTATCTACACTCTATGAATCAAGAGTCAAGAGACTGTACGGTCAAGAAAGATGTTTGTGCTGGGCCTCGGGCTCCTCCTTCTCGTCTGTCGCCAGCGGCCGAATGTCGATGTTCACGTGCGCCTTCAGTTCCTGTTGTCCCTCCACGTGCGCCGGCGCAGCCGCCGCCTCTTTCGACGGCGGCGGCGCCGCCTCTTCCGACGGCGGCGCCGCCGCCTGGGCGCCCTCGAACTTAGCAACCACGAACAATGACGAGATGGTTCCAAAAACCACCAAGAACCCCGCCCAGAGGAAAAGGCTAGTGAACTTGCTCCCATACTCCGCCGCTAGGGTTTCTAGTGGCAGCCTCAAGAAGAACTGCAAGATCCCGAAATCGAAAATCGGGATTGCGATGTGGAACCAGGCCATGACAGCTACCGCAAGAAGGCATTGACAGAGGAAGTTCAGTTTTTGACGGAATGCAGCAACCACCGTGGTGATAATCGTGACGGCGCCGTGGCAGAGGATGGATATGACTAAGCCGCGGCGGACACGCATTACCTGCTTATGGCGGAGACTCCATGCCAGGTAGTACGCAGCCAAACACGCGCAGACAATCCCAACGTAGGTCATTTTCCCCTGTTGGTCTCCCTTCACAAAGGACGGGATGATGGCGGCCGCTGAAGTGCCGACGAACGCCCAGACGACGCAGGCGGCTTCCGAGTAGGTCCAGCTGGACCAGTCCATTGAAGGGATTTTTCCTTTTTTCTTTTTCTTTTGATGGGTAGATTATTAATGAAATGTGAGAATTTTAGTCGGATGTCAAGGATATTTATATTACTCTCGGGGTTTTTGTTGTATCATCAATTCATCATCAAGAATGAATAGAGAGTAGTCGGTGTTATGCAAAAGTTTTATTTTATTTTATTTTTTAACTAGTCCAGCCGAGCGCACGAGCAATTTATTATGGAAAATTAGTTATAAAACTTGAGTTTGACTGAATTTTTTATGGGTAAATATTTAATTCGGGTAAAATTAAATTATGTAGAAAAATTCTACGTTTTGGGTAGATACTCGTGGTATATTTATTTTCTCAAAATTGATTTTTGGTGAGTGACCGAGAGTTGGAGAGATCACAACAAAAACTAAGCTAAACATCAAGTGTTGGTATTGACTTCGGCCACATGCGCGCGCCCGCCCGCCCGTCGGCTCGGGCTCGAGCTCGGGCACGGGT